CAAGCCCCACCCGTTGCGGGTTTTTTTTTGTTGTTGTCCTATTTTACGATGGCTCCTTCCAATACCTCTCCCTGTCTAAGACAACCATTTTCCTCCTCCACAAAGAGCAGCCGTCTTGGACAATTTCCAATGTAAAAAAATACAACCCCCATTTTTCGATAGCCTCCGAATAAAATACCGCTATTATCATAATTTTGATAACGTTTCAAGTTAAAAAATAGAGGCTAATGAATGAAGAAAAAGAAGAGCTTACCGGTATACCATCATAGCTCACTCTGAGAGAAAAGTACTTTTTGCACAGGATAACGGATGTATTGTGCAGGTAGAAGGATAGATAAAGTCGAACTTTCCATAACGAAAACCTGTCTGAGAAGAAAACCTGTAATAACGGAATCTTTCCGCTGAAACCTGTTTAACACAGAAATAGAAAGAAGTGTCCTCTTCGAACGTTTTGAACTGTCCGTGACAGAAAATCAATACTTTGCCCACTGGGCCCTGATTTGAAATGCCAACATTCAAAATATATAATACTTTGTGAATAATAATGGCCACATAAATGATTGAGGAGGGGTGGGAGTGGGGTGGAAACAATAAGACGGGGGAGGGGTCACTGCTGTAGCTCGTCTTGCATGCCATTCAGCATGACCAAGCGAAAAGTACTAGGACTTCTGATCCTGTGTACATTAATCGGAGTTGAGCGCTACATAAAAGTCATTTATTAGTAGTATTATTATTATCTGTATTGACGTGCTCAAATAACACGAACCCGGAAAACTCGAAATCACTGATTTGTAGTTTCAGTTTTAGTAAGGGTTTTATGGCACTTGCAACACAATAAGGTCATATAAGTTCTGAAGACTTAGCGGTATTACAAGAAAGTAAAAAACACAACAAAGAAGGAGGGTAAGGACGTTGGATGTAAGATGTGTGCTAGGAAAGATAGGAGCAAACCACACCAGAGCACCCGCTAACCACCCCTGAAATCACTGGTAACTTGTTCAATTTGCTGCTCCCCGCTTGATGTCTCTTTAATTAATTTTTCGTGATCGATTTACCCGAATTACGGATGTATTGAACATCGAATAGTTTCGCAACAACACGCGACAAACGTTATTTGTTAAGTTTGGCCGAAACTAGTACCGTTGTATCTGGAAAGGTGATGCACATTCCAGAGTTAACTCTTTTTTTTCTCCCCTCACAAAACGCAATTTTTCCTCTTTAAAGGACTGCAGAAAGTTGAACTTTCTTGTTGTTGCAAAGCGCGACAAAATAAATCGGTAGATTTCTTTTGAAAAACCACGACACAACCTCTGTGCACCAATCACGTTCTCTCCTCGTGTCACGTGACGTAGCTTGTGGGTGACAAAAGTTTGCCCGCGGATCTTTTCCTTCTTTTAAAGTGGATAATAATATGTTGGCGTTTTGTCAAAAATGAGTGGGTATCTTAGCAATTTAAAGGATAAGAATGCAACATGGATAAATCAATTAGTGAATATCTACTAAGCCTTATATCATATTTATCCTAACACCAAAGTTGCTCAAGATTATTCAGTAAGTTAGAGAAGAATAGAAATAAATTTTCTCAAAACTGGACAAATGGATTTGTTGCGTTTTGTCGCGAAACTGTTCATATATTTAATTATAGACCTATATAATATATAAATAAATCCCCGGCGTGTTCCAGTTGTCCGTGCCCGACTGTATAACCGAGACTGCACTCAGGTGTAATTCTGGCTCACCACACCATGGAGCATATCGTTTGATTCAATGCTTGGCCAAATGAAGGACACGGAAGAAACAATGCGCGAGTACTCGACCAAAGCGAGACTAGATTATAATGTAAATATATTATTATTATGTATTTTGTCCTTCATTTATGCGCACATGGAGCGTGGTGCGCATCATCGCCGCAGCGAAGTTTTCTAGAAAGCAAAGAGACGCGGGAGCCATGGTAGCGCCCGATCTAGGATTATATTGTGACAATTCAAGTCCACAGCTCTGTCAGATCTACCACCACCATCAGGCGACAGCAGCTGCTGCTGGTTCTGGAAGTAAAAAAACAAACTGCGAATTGTTCACAAACTATGAGAGAGACAGAGAGAGA